CCCCCCCCCCACAATCAAATCAGGTGACGAGCTAGACGACCTACGCAGCTAAGGGCCCAAAGAAATCAACTAAAGCAAAACAGAGAGAGAGAGAGAGAGAGAGAGAGAGAGAGAGAGAACGTTTGGGAGGAATGGAAAGCGTGTCGTTGCATAGGCCAGAGCACAGGAAGACTCCGAGGCGAAACTAATACGAGCGATGACGATGACTTTTTGTTTCAGGCGGCCACGGCACGTCGCCCCAAGGAGCAAAGCCTCAGTGGCTGATCGCGGCCGGTCCCACCAGACCGGCGCCTGTGTGATGAACCAATACCTCAGCCCAAGCAGCCTCTCCCCAGCGAGCAGCTCAATAGCAGCACCAGCCCCAAGCCACTACCCCCCAGCCATGCGCGAGAAGGACTCGAGCCCCCGCAAGATGCCCGGACACATAAGCCCCAAGCAGGCGAGCATCTACCCCCTGGGGCCGCGGACCGGTGCCGCGGAGCCGGAACCCGAGCTGCCCTACGATCTGAGCCACGGCCACGCCCGAGCCAGCCCCTGTCACGGGCCCCGCGACCTCCAACCCCAGCTCTCGCAGCTCTCGCAGCTGGGCCAGCAGGCCCAGTCGCGGACGAGCCCGACCTCGCGGTCCCACCAGAGCCGCGGCCGCGGCGTCCTCGAGCCGGCTGAGGCCTGCGAGCCCCTCGATCTGCGCCTCGAGCACAAGAAGGAGAGCCTGCGCGATGAGAACCAGAACGAAATCGAGGCTCTCAACCAGAACAGCCTTGAACGCGCCTACCACACGGTCCTCTTCCCCCAGCATCACGCGGTCCACCCCCTCGTGCTCGAGGCCATGTACCGCTCGCAGCAGCACGCGCCGGAGCTCCCGGGGCTGCAGGCTCGGGCGCTCCCGACGATGGTCGCTCTGCCGGGTGGCCGTTTCGCCGGGCCCGGCTCCACACCGGGGCCCCAACTGGCCCAGTGCCCGCGATCGACGAGTCCCGCGAGCTCGGCGCCGGCGCCGATCGCCGCGGAGCTCGGACCGAGCCAAGCGCCGAGACCGCCTACACAGCAGGCCCCCGGTATCCCGGGGTACGCCCTACCCGCGGGCCCTGGCGCCGGCCTCAAGCCCAAGGACCGCTACTCCTGCAAGTTCTGCGGCAAAGTGTTCCCGCGCTCGGCCAACCTCACGCGCCACCTGCGCACCCACACCGGCGAGCAGCCCTACAAGTGCAAGTACTGCGAGCGCAGCTTCAGCATCTCGAGTAACCTGCAGCGCCACGTGCGCAACATCCACAACAAGGAGAAGCCCTTCAAGTGTCCGCTGTGCGAGCGCTGCTTCGGCCAGCAGACGAACCTCGACAGGCACCTGAAGAAGCACGACGCCGACGGGCCGACGATACTCGAGGAGGTGCGCTCGAGGTACCACGGGCAGCTGCCGCGCGCCGAGGAGTCCTACTTCGAGGAGATCCGCACGTTCATGGGGAAGATAACGTCGCGGGGCCAGGGCCTGGCTTACTTCCCGGGGCTTCTGGGGACCGCGGCCGAGGACCGTGCCGCATGGAGCGAGAAGCAGCAGCTGCGGCTGGAGGAGAGGCGGCAGCAGCAGCAGGCGGTGCCCGGTCAGGGCGACTCATCCTACTTCAGCGATCGGGACAATCTGAGCTCGAGGTCGAGCAGCAGCGCGAGCCGAGCCGAGAGCCTCCATGAGGAGCAGCAGAGGGACGCAGGCTCGCCGCCCCTATCACCGGGTAACAATACCTGAGACGCCGACGAGCCGAGCTCGCTCGATGACCGAGCCCGCCTCTAGCTCTCCTCGGAGATCGGCATCCCCTTGTCACGGAGGTCGCTCGTGGCGAGAGCGCTACGTCCTCGTGCCGGCTGACTGCAACGACTAGACGTTCGGCGATGGACGTTCAATGTAAATAATTGCCGGCCGATGGAACCGGACAACGGTCAATAGACAGCCGGGAACCGTCGAGGGAGAAGATGCAAGCGAGCCAAAGGACCGACTAACTCGTTTACAAGTTGATCGCACTCGCGCGTCTTTAGAATAAAGAGCAGCCGCGCTTCATGCCTTCCCCGACCGAAAATCTTTCTCACCGAGAGCCACCACGAGGGCGACGTCGTCTCAAGGTAGCGCTGCGCAACCCAACAGCAAGAGTGGAAAACGCTCCTTTACGTCGAACGCAATTTCGTCGTTATGATATGCGAGCGGTGCGTTTTTACCCCAGGATGCCGCTAAGCCCGATTGGCCGCGGAGAGAGAGAGAGAGAGAGAGAGACAGGAGAAGAGTGACAAAAGCTGACTGGACGGACTAGAACTGAGGACAGATGCGTGCGTGCGTGCGTGCGTGCGTGCGTGATTTTGGGAGAGGAGGATGGAGTGATTTGGCACGGGGAGGAAGTAGTGAAGCGTGGCGAGGGGCAAAAAATATGAGCGTGAGCGATCGCGTAGCTCGATTTAATGTCCTAAGAAAGTGAATTAAAGTCAAGCCGACCAAGTAAATCGATGCGTCTCCTGGTGCACAATCAACGACGTCGGGGACAATAGGATCGCTCGCAGCCGATGAAAATTGCTAGAAATTGACTGGGCAACATCGGCTCTCATCATCCATCACGATTCAGCACGATTTCTTCGCTTTAACAACCGCCTCCTTTCTTATCGCTCAGCCGAATGAACGAGAGACGATGAGAGAGAGAGAGAGAGAGAGAGAGAGAGAGAGAAAAGGGAGAGAAAGAAAGAGAAAAAGAGGATTTATATTTGCACTTGTGTATTTGTTGGTGGGCGTTTGCATATGTATGTGCGTGCGTGCGTGCGTGCGTACAACCTTGCGTGCGCAATAACGTCGTCGTGCAAAATGATCATAAATGCCATCGTCTCGTAACGATCCTCGAATTTTCAGAAAGGAAGCCCTGTCCGCCGCAAAAACAAACCGACTCCCTACCAATTTCCCGGAAATCATTGGAGTAAGAAGTGAAATACCGCCAAGTCGTATCGTCTGGCACAATCGGATTCGCAATTTAATACAGAAAAAGGTTGATTCGGGAAAACGATGAGAGAATATCGGAGTCGAAATATATCGGTACTGATCTTACTTTCTAACTTCATGGGAGCTCGTCTCGCGGCGCAAGTCAAGTCGAGTGGAAAGTCCAGTTACGCGTGTACTGCGGGCAGGCGGCTACGCTCTGTGAGGTGAAAATGAAGCTCTAAAGCGTCCGCTAATCCGCTATCTCTCATTTCTTTTATCGAACAACGAAGGCTATCATCCTTCCCGCTGCCCCTCTTTGAACATAGACCGATATCCCCCCCCCCTCCCCCACACACACACGCACGCGGGCGCGCGCGCGCGCGCCTGCCCGACCGCCCACCCCACTCCACCCCATCACCCGCTACTCCCGCTCCCGTTCCCTCACCAACCGCTACCCACACCCCTTCTCCTTCATATCGCTCTCTTTCGCTCACTCGCTCTGTCTATGTATTTGTTGTCTGCCTGTGTGCTCGTGTGCGTGTGCTCGTCTGTACAGCTCCTCGGCGATGACCTCGGTCCTGTTGCGTTACACTTTTGCGCCACGCCCCGGGCTCGATCGGGCGCATCGCGAAAGTGAAACGCAATAAAGAAGCCACGCCACTCGCGAGTCAGACGGAGAGAGAATGAGAGAGAGAGAGATAGAGAGAGAGAGAGAGAGAGAGAGAAAGAGAGACAGAGGCAGAGAAAGAGACACGACTACAAACTCTTCGTGCTGCGATCGATCCTCTCGATTACTGCCTTCAATTATCCTCCTTTCTCTTCTCTTCTCTCTCTCTCTCTCTCTCTCTCTCTCTCTCCCACCCTCTTTTTTCACTCGTTTCGCTTTGCGTTCACTTTTTTCTTTTTATACTTTTAATGCACCTTTTCTCTTTATCGTGTACTCACCTTTTGCGTTCTTTTTACCGTATTGCTCTAACTTTGATTGCATTCTTTTTTTCTTCCTTTTTTTCCTTTCTTTTTGTTTTTCTTTTTTCTTTTTCTTTTACTAGATTCAATTCATTTGGTGCACGCAACTCAATTAAGTTAATTCTTTTCAAACTGTTGCATTTGTTCGACGATTCACGCGATCATCATTAAAAATCCAACGCGCGAAGGAAGCATTAAGGATATTTATGCGAACAATATTGGACATTGTTTCTTGGCCCTTAAAGCTTGACATCCACCACCATCCCTCTGCCTACGTCCGACCCCTTTTCACTTGGCAATCTTAATCGGAAACGAAAATGTCGTCGGATTATTTTGCGAGCCTTTTGTTTCACATCCTCATTGATTTGCCGATACTTTATATAACGTAATGCTCATGCGCACCGCACGGATCTGCTTTTTCACTGTTACATAGCGCACTCTGAAACAGATGTAGCAGGATAATTTCCGACTGCAATTTACGGGTGTGTATAATTTTATACATACATATGTATGTATATATATATATATATATATATATATATATATATATATATATATATGAATGCATTGGTTCGAAATAAGAGCACCGAGTTTTGCAATACGACAATTTTGTCCCATTATATTCATCGTAGTAAATTTAACAATTTGGTAAATGGGGGGAGAGCTACAAGTCCTGCTTTTATTACTTTTCCTCTAACGAAATAAATACCGTTAGATTTCTTACGTAGGCATTCGTAACCGACTTATTTATTGCATTCTGGTTTAAAAACAAAAAAACAAAAAAACAAAAAAACAAAAAAAAAATAAAACACAAAACTCAACAACAACAACAACAACAACAACAACAACAACAATAAAACTTATTTTTATTATAAAATATTTTATCGTATTTGATTAAAAGTTGAGGATTTAATTTTTAAATTCGTTAAAATGTCATTATCGAATCAAAAAGCTTTATTCGTACGACGAATACGTCGAGCAAATGACTGACTCAAAGGACAGAATAATGCACACGTAGTAAAACGGAGCTACGGTAGTCCATTTGACTACCGTAAACTACTTAAATTATTGACTATTTATCGGAAAAGTTTTACAATCCGAGCAAGGATGAAAGTGCCTGAGATAGTACACGTGATAAAGTCACTCCTCGAGAAATAGTCTCGCGGAAAACAATAATCGTTATCCCTCGAACATTATTGCAATCAGCCGAATCAACGATAATGCTTAAATCGGTAGTCCAAGTATCCAATACTTAGATGTACTTGAAGGAAAGCAGCAATTGAAAATTCTTTGATATTACTTGAAGGCGCAGTGGTGTATCCTAATAAATAACTCTGGTAGCAAATTAAAAGTGAAAGATATAAGAGTGCAAGAGAAGAAAAAAAAAACCAGTTGAAGTAAAGTGTTGGTAGATGAATATAAGCCAGAAGGCTTTTAGGACACTTTCAAATGGAGCGATTAATTTAGAGAAGCCGGTAGACGGGAGTGAGTTTGGCGCGGATATTTACTAACAGGTCGGTCGAGCCATGCCAACCCATTAACAACCGTAACAAGTCGCAGTAGCAACAACAGTAGCAGCAGAAGCACCAATAGCAGCACCAGCAACAATAACAGCGGCATCAGCAGTATTAGCAACAGCAGTCCCAGCAACAGTAAAACGCAACATCGACAAGAGACAACTACAGCAACGACTACAGCAACGACGATAATAAAAAATCTATGAAAAGCAAAGGAAAAAACAAGCCTGAGAAAGTTCGAGCAGCTTTTACGACTGAGAAAAATCACGGGAACTCCAGCTCGAGAATAAGAAACATGTTTGACTTTTTCATCGTCGAAATGCTGTCGTAGCGCGCAATCGCGAGAGATCCGCACGTGTAAGAGCAAGAAACCTTGGCGCGAGGGGCTCCCATATAGGAACATACATACGTAAACGTACGTGAGAAGAAGCCGGCGCTCGCCGCCGCTTCTCCTGCTACGCCCCGATCGCGCACACGTACACGTACACGTACACGTGCTAGAGGGAGAGGAGAGGCGAGATGGTTCCCTTCGCCCGTCTCCGAAAGTGGAACACCATAAAGGAGCTGCTGCCACCGCTACGCGAGAGCTACTCGCGCCAGATGAGCCGCAAAGAGAGCGAGCGAGAAGAAGCTGGAGATCGCGCCGATTACGCTCACGTGCCTGAAATCGTTTCTTTTTCTCCCACGCGTCCACGCCTCGTATGTGTAGAAGAGAGGCTGCCGATGTTCCTCCTCGTCGTCCGGCGCATGGGAGTCTTTCGAAAGGGGATTACGCGAATAGTATGATTATGCGCCCGCACCTGAGATATGATCGAGTTAACGCAACGAGTAGCGGTAAGACCGTCCCGGAGGGTATCGCCGGTCCACCAACTAATTGCCACGACGTAATGACTCTACCCCGCCTTACGTCCCATTCATTCTCTCCCCGATTGCGTTTCTCTTCTCTCCCCATCGACCCACCCGTAAGCGAGAAGCGCTCGGTAATGGCCGATGATGGACGACGGTGACGTAGTTGGTTGACCTTTTCGCTTCCTCTGGTAATTATCATCTGGCTCTCCCTCGAGAAAGCGGCGCTTGGTTAAGCTACGACGACTCCGTCTACGCGCGATATCAGCGATAAATCCTTAACTCATCTCTCGGCTTGCGTAAGTTTTGTCGCTGGCGTTCACTGAAATATTATTCATTAGGGTTATTGGTGGTAGGCTTGTTTCCCCGTCCCGTCCTTTTTCATCCAACGAGTGGGACGCGGGCGGATTGGCGCCTTGGTAAGTAATTATTTATCGGGGAAATGAAATGTCGCGGCACTCGCGTCGTAAAACAAGACGAGACACCTCTTCTCTGACGCGATAAGAACTACATGAAATCAGCGCTACCTTAGATCGAGATTTTTTCACCGTCAATATCGACAATACAAAGTT